CCTAAAAGTGGCTCTGAGAAGCTACGTTGAACAGGCGTTATTACGGCAGGACGGCCCGGTAAACAAAATATAGCTGGGGATAAGGCCGACTCAAGTATTTCTAACGATACGTGCTCACGATTTCCTGAGGGAGTTACTATTTGAATATACTGCGAATCTTCTGAATATGTTGGGATACCCGCTGGTAGGTGTAGGTTGTTTTTATCAGCTAGTTCGTTTGAATTTTCACTCCAGGTTTCTCTCGTCATTACCTTACCAAGAATCATCTTGGTCAGGCATTGCGGATTCTGTGTTAGTTTGAATCCGAATCCGACAGCTACTTCACGAGTGTGCGATTGATTAAATGGAATTTCGAGATTTAGCTGTAATGGGCTAATGTCGGAAAGTTGCTCTAAGAGATATATTAAAAGTATTCTTATTGCGTTAAATGATTGCGTGTGACTTTCATCTGCTGCTAAACGTGTGGTGACTACGCCAGTGTTCTCGCGTGCTGACCAGATCATATATGCGATCATTTCGCTCTCGCACCAGACTGCTCTTCGAATAGCGATTTTTTCCTGCACTTCAGTAGGTGCCCAACCGCTGCCAATTAATGAGCCTGATAATTTTAAGCTAGAGAGAAGTGAGTGAACATGAGATGCGTCTTTTGAATTAACTTCTACTAGGTTGAGTGTGGCTGTTTCGGAAGTAAAAAATGAAGTTTTTGAGATTCCTAAGTTTCCCGATTCATTTAATTCAAAAGCAGATGCAGAAACAATTTCAATGCCGTACTTTTTTTCAATAAAAGGAGCTGATGCTAGAAGTGCTGAATCGTTTGTGATTAAGCCAGCTAGGTCGTGTTGGATGACTGTGGCAATGTGGCTTATGTCAGAAAGGTCGTTCGAACTAAGTTGATTTGCTGTCTTGTTGGGGAAAACTAATTGCGCTAAGGTTTCTAGTAAAACTATATTTTTGTTTTCTTTTGATAATGGGAAACAAGGAAGCGTGCTTATTAGTCCCTCCATTGGGTCGGTACGATCCGCGAGTCTAGTTCTCTGTAGCTCCTCTCTTATTTCATTGCTAATAGCTAATCTACAGAAATTCATCCGTTCGGCTTGAAATAGTGTTACTGCTTTTTCATGGCGAGCCCTTCGAGGTGCTGCTAGATCAAATAGTACATTTAAATCTAGCAAGAAGAGAGGTATAGCAGCAGATGTGGTAGATTTCAGACCTAAAGGATTTTCTGAATTTATTCCGCTTACGGAAAATAATTGCGGAGAGTCAAGCTCTAGGCATCGAACAAGAATTTTTCGATTTTTCGATTTTCCTCCTTGCTCTTGTCGCTGAACATAAAAATATTGGAAAATCAAAAATGAAGACGATTACGGTATTCGATAATATCTTCACACTACCTCGTTCGGTGCCTCTAAAATTCTTACAAGATATTGGCTGCGGCCGCCCTAATGATCTTATTACAACAAAACCAATTTCAGACCTACAGCTTGAACTCATTTTGAAAGAGGCTTATAGCTTATGAAACAACAAAATAATATATTAATCTCTTTGACCCCTCGCCATGCGCGCAACGTTTTTGAAGGCACTAAGACCGTTGAACTACGTCGCAGAAAGATGCAGATATCTGAGGGCACAATTGCTTGGATCTATGTAAAGCTTCCTATTGGAGCAATTATAGGATACATAGAAATAAGCACTATACATATAAATCCGCCAGAAAAATTATGGCGAAAGTTCTCTTCAGTAAGCGGGCTTTCAAGATCGGAATTCTTTAGCTACTTCGAAGGAGTATCGGAAGGAACAGCGCTTGAAATATCAAATACAAAAAAACTCCAAACGCCACTCCCCCTTGATCTTTTGAGAGACCAATTATTAACCTTCCACCCTCCGCAGTTCTTTACAAACCTAAATACTGATTCGCCAACACTAAAACTACTAACCCTTAAGAATAGCGCTATGCCAACAACAAGAAAAAGCAAGCAAAAAAAACATCAGCCTAGCCACGAAAACCATTAATCACAGAGTTTTCGAAAAGATCTACAGACGGCCAATATACGGAGCAGACTTACCAAATCAGTAATAAAAATATATGTACAGTAAGAATTCATCAATCAAAAGCAATAGAAAAATTCCTCCCCTTAATAAAAAAAGAACTACCAAAAAGATCTTCATCCAATGAAAAAACGTCATCTCTAAAATTATAGAAATCAACTTCTGAAAGGTAAATCCTACCTAAAGCTTTTTCTTGAGCGATAACTATTTCCTGCGCAGACCACTTTGGCAGCTCTTGCTTCAAATACTTAACCAGCCTAGGCATTAGTATTCGAGCCTGCCGATCACAAATCGACCTAATAACTCGCATCAATACACCAGACGGATTGGGATTTTTTTCCATAACTATTTCCAACTCACCCAACTTTAGACATTCCAAGTATGAAGGCCGAGCTATAATCTGCTTGTCTTTAAAAGAAAAGGCAACAGCATCCCAATTGGTGATAGTCGTCAGCAAAAGACTTTCACGGCCTTTAAAAAGTACATAGCCATGCTTAAAGGCCCATGTTTCGCGTAGCGGCCAAATATCAACAGTCCATCCACCTACTTCAACCCGATAGCCGCCAAATTTATTTATTTTATATCGATGAACACACTCATTAAAGAAAGAAAACAACTGAGCAGGCGAACAATCTACAACCAAGTCAATATCAGAGTTGAAATTCTTACCCCCAAAAAGGGCTATATCACGCAACAACCCGCCAAAAACAAGAACCTCTCCTAACGAAGAGGCCTCTTGTACAAACTCAAAAACATCAGATCTTTTAGGCGAGTCAAAAAACCTAACGACTCTTTTTTTCAAAGACTGATTATCAGCTGCAATGCCTATCATATAATGGCTTTAACTCATCATGCAGGGTGATTATATAACTATCAGTCATACCTGAAATTGCATCAGCCAACAACTGAGCCTCCTTATAACTTTCCGGGAGAAAATTATTAGGATCAGAAAAAATCCTTCTGTAGCTTTCAGATATCCTTGAGTACGCGTACTTCCCAAAGGGCGTCTCGGACTTATGCTCCTTACTTAGTCGACCATGTATACCAACCCAAAGCATATCCATGGTTTCCCCAATATAATTATTACCCCTAAGCTCCAACT